CACCTCCCACCCTCCCCATCCCCAAGTGTCCCCCAAATCCTGTCCTACCCATTCCCACATGTCCCCTGCCTCCTGTCATTGCTGTCCACCACATCCCACCTTCTCCATCCTCAAGTGTCCCCCGTGTCCTGTCCCCACCATTCCACCCTCCCCAGCGGGGGCTCACCAGCGGGGGCCGGGGGGTCCCGGCAGGTGAAGCAGCACTGCCCGGGGCCCAGGTGCCGCTGGTGCTGTGGGCAGTCAAGCACAGGGCAGGGGGCAAAGGAGCACCCCCCCTCGCCAGCCTGGGGACACAAGGACACGGGTCACCTCCCGCAACCGGACCCAGCCCCAAGCAAAGGCTGGATCCCCCCAGAATCATGGTGTGGGGAAGCCCTAGAACATCCCTGGGGATCCCCCCAGCCCCCCTACCCGGCAGACGCAGGTGGTGCAGTCATCCCCATCTAGGCTGAACCGGGCACCGTGTGCGTACGTGTGGCCCCGAAAACTGCACTTTGCTGGGGAGGAGAGAGGCAGCAGGGCCAGGGTTGGGCTTGGGAAGCAAAGCACAGCTCCTGACAAACCCCCACTGCAAACCCCCATCCCTAGACTCTGCACGCCACATGGGGGTCCCGGGGGGCTCACCTGGCTGGCAGAAGCAGCAGTCAGGTGGGGAGATGCCAGGGCAGGAGCCCGGGGGGCACTCGGGGGAGATGCAGGAGACGTTACCACCCTATGGAGAAGAGCACGGGGCTGGCACAGGGCAGCTGAGGGGCAACGTGCCCTGTCCCCACCATGGGTGGCACAACACCAGGGCATCACCCACCCCAGCGCATCCCACTTCATCACCCCAAGAGACACATCTCGGGGCTGAGCGGGGATGCAGGGGGTTGTCCCCATCCCCAAGGCACCCCGGGACAGCGTGGGCTCACCAAGCAGACGCAGACGGTGCAGTTCCCATCAGATGGGGTGAAGACGTCACCCTCAGCCCTGGCCACCCCATCATGCAGGCAGCCTGCAAGGTACGTGGGTCATGGAGGGGCCACAGCGCAGT